AAGGCATACGATAGATTGTCTTGGAAGTTTATTGAAGATACATTGGGGTTATTGGTTTCTCACAGGAATGGAAGAGGAACATAATGGCTTAATAGAAGTTCATTGAAGATACTAAACTAATTAAGGACTAAAAGAAATATATAATAGATATTATTCATTCTCTTAATTGTTGGAGCATAATTATCGTATGATATTCATCATCTGCTCTCCCTCTATAATTAGCCACAAAACTCGTATCATAAATCAGATTATGGAAATTAAACAACAGAACTCAGAACGAAAATTGGGATCCGATCCATACATTGCACTCTTCCGGTCTTGTGTTGAAGGTATAAAAATTTCACCTGTAGTACAGTTATAATGAAAATATGTTTGAAGAGAAAATAGGAAAAAATTATGTCAATTAAGAATTAAGCTAATGGGAGGAATACCAATACTAGTTTTGATACAAATGCAAATACAGTAGGTAAAAAATTTAAATTACAAGCAAAAATGTAACCTTTAGATACAAATGCAAATACAATGTGTTTTGATATCAACCAAGGGCATCCTCATCCTCAGGCGCATCAACAAATTCTTTAAATAAATGGTCATTATAGCACCTAAAAGTGACAAATTTTTGCATATTATGACAACATTGAGGACATTTTATATTCTCTGGGACTTTGTTAGAATTAGATGGACATTCAAGAGCACAAGGGTGATGTTGTGAAGTGGAAGTGGAGCCTGCAAACATCTCATTATGATGATCTTTGAATGCTTGGTCAAAGCCTTTGACCATTGCACTTTCCTTCCATTTCGCGTATTCATTCATGACCGCCAACATTTTATCTCCTAGGTCATATACAACTATCTTGTTCCCTTTACATAACAAAGCCCATCCAACAACTCCTATTTGTTCAGCTTCATATGCTAGCAACAATTTTAGTCCTTTGACAATTTCGTCACTCTTTTCATCACGACAAGCATCATCTAAGAATTTGATCCTTGACAAAAATATGCTTTGAAGATTTATCCAAAACTCCGATTCTTTCATAATATTTTCAAATGTCTCACAAATCATATCTCGTCGAATCAGTGATGCTACTTTATTGCTGCTACCGACATAGACCATATTAATTGTCCCTTGTGGTTGAACTTCTCTCAATATCTTGGATGCAAATGTTTTAACCCAATTTATGGCATTCCCTCCAATAAAAAAAATATGCTCATTCGCATTAACCTGATAAATCATAATAAGTTGTTAGAGCAATGAAATATTAGGGAGGAAGCTTATTTCAAAATTTGGTTGGAATGCAAAGAAGAAAGAAGTTGGACTTACCCATTCCTCTGCCGGAGGGATGAGGTTTTTTCCTATCAGAAGCTTAGTGCACCAAGATTTTTCCTTCCAACCGTCTTCTTCCTTTACATCTTTGAACAGAAGGCTTTCAAGCTACCCTTAAAAATAATAATTAATTAAGTTTGACCATATATAAATAAATAAATTATATATATATATATATATATATATATATATATATATATATATATATATATATATATAGTTGAGTTCCGGTGCGGACAAGCCTTCTTGTGAGAACATGCGGATGCACTGTCAAGCCAGTATCAATGCAAAGTAAAGCATTTTCAAATATACCTTCAAGCATTTCCAAATACACTAGAGTTGACAATCAATGGCAATCGGGGGTGTACAGTGCATTTTGAAATGCTTTACAATGCATTGATACGGGCTTAACAGTGCATTCGTACGTTCCCACGGGAAGACTTGTCTACATCTGATCCCGCTCCATTATATATGTGTATGTGTGTGAGACTTAATTACTTTGCTACCGAGCTAATAATAGACGTACCGAATTTTGTATTTCACTATGAATGTCTAGAAACCATTCATCCAATTTACTATCCATTTGGTTAGTAAAATCACTTATCCTCTCATCAATGTTAAACACTAAATGTCTAACAGATGAAGTCGTCTCCATCAACGCATTCTTGAAAAAAGGAATTATGCTATCCTTGTTCCTAATTGAAGGACCGCCCTTCAAAGCAAAATCTATAACTTTCTTTACTATCATGTTTGTTGCAGTACAGTGAACAATCCTTCCATATTGATCCAGTAAAACAGCAATAGGCCCACCCCCTATTTGAAATATTGGGAAGAATTTCTTTTTTACAAATCTTGCAAATCCCGGTGCTATGAATTTTTCTAGATTTTTCACTCCACAAATTTCTACTACTTCCTTTGCTAAAACTCTATAATTGTGGTTCAGAGTTTCAGTATCCCACCGTAAAGTGGGATAATCCACTATTGGGATCCATAATTGAGCTGAGAAGTACAAATAAGCACTTGCAATGAGCATGGAAGTCTCAATTTCAAGGTCTGACGTTATAAATAACACCAATTTTTTATTCTCTAATGAACGTAATCCTGCCTGCAATAATCAAAATTCACTCAATTATATTAAAAAAAAATTTAAATTTAAATTAACTTGTCAAATTTAAATTAAATTGTCAAATTTAAATTTGAGTTAATACCGTTTGATCTTGCATGGAATCATATAAAGGTTCCTCTTTGTCAACATCCTTAACATTAAATATTAATTTAAGAACATCCAAATTAGTACGATGGATCAGATTTTCATCAGAGAATGCACACCACAATGCGTTGTAAGAATCCTCTTCTCTCTTCATTTCTGAAATAGAAGCCAGTAAATTATATATATATATATATATATATATATATATATATATATATATATATATAGGGTTCCAATGAGAACACTTGCTTAGGTGAGAACGTGAGAAGAAATCGTGTGCATCCATTGCATCTAATATTTTTTAATGGTCTAGATTAGATTAAGTGTGGCGAACGCGCATTAAATGTGTGCAAACATACTAAATCGCGTTTGCACACATTTAATGCGCGTTCGCACACACTTAATCTAATCTAGACTATTAAAAAATATTAGATGGATGCACATGATGTATTCTCACGTTCTCACATAAGTACATGTTCTCACTAGCTAGAACCCTACCCTATATATATATATATATATATATATATATATATATATAGCTAGGATTAATATGATCCATCCATTTAGATAGCTCAGAGAGATTGAGGGTTGTTGAAAATAATAAGAAAAGTAATGTCAGTTTTATAAATCTTACAAATTTAAAAATTTACCATAACTATAAAATTGAAATGTTTTATTTATTTATTTAGTTTTACTAACCTAGCATTGGGTGGCAATAAGCTGAGAATAAGTAATTGATAGTGGTTGTTAAACTGGATAACTTTTCTCCTTCGGCATTAAGCCACCTATAATATAATATAATAATAACAAATTAAACCCTTTTAATTAATGAGGCAAATATAAGTATATAACTAAAACATTTGATATCTTAATATTGACAAGTAACATGAAATTAATTAAATACATAAATTGTATGTTTGCTTGAAATAAAATCTTACTCTGAATCACCACCCGGGAAGTGACCGAAATAGGATGCAAGATTTAGGATACTTATAAGGATCCAATAAGAAGTAATTGGTATGATTGGCGATGAGTTAAAAGAAGATGATTGTGCAAGTTCAACAATAGTGTTAGTAAGATGTAAGAGTGATTTGATAAAAAGGAAAATGGATTGTTGGATATGGGAGGGTGCCAAAGTCAATAATGGAGTGTTACTAATTCCCTTGAGATTTGCCAGTTTGTGGGGCAGTCCCTTGTGAGATTGGAGATGGCTTAATTCTCCAAAGTTGAGGGAGAAAGCCGCCAACATCATCAAAATCTTGGCTTCCCATGGATATGCGCACAACATTTTCAAAAAATGCATTATAGTTGAGTGTGGATCATCTGTATTTTCTGAACACTTCAGTGCTATCTGAATATATATGAAATCAAATTTAAGCCTGAAGATTAGCTATTAATTTTTTGAAATTCTAAAATTTAACATTAAAATTACATACATACACACACAAATAAAATGCTACAAAATGCACCACACACCAAAAAAATAAACCTGTATTTTTTAACATTGTATGATGCATTTATGCATACATGATGTAAATCGCACCGACCGCACGGTAAGCTCTGTTCTTACAGGAACCTGACCTTATATATATATATATATATATATATATATATATATATATATATAAATTATTACAAATTTATTTTAATTGCTTCTAAAAAAGAAAGATTAATTACCTCAGATGAAAGCAGCTTTATTTGATACCAATGTTCTATGTCTTTGAGTTCAATCTCATCAGGCACCACCTTGTGGTTGGATTCATCCACATTATCATCAGAGTCCTCATCTTCATAAATGGCTTTTCCACCCATCTAGATTAAACCATATATATATATATATATATATATATAATATATATATATATATATATATATATATATATATATATATATATATATATATAACATAGCTATCACGTTGTTACTCTATTCAATATAATTACATCAAGATTTATTAACTAGTTAGAAATCCATACAATATGTGCACTACTATTTGTCGAAATATAAAACATTTGTATTCTATAAGTATATTATAAGTACTATAAACCATGATCATGTTATATTTTTTTTTTTGAATGTCATGATCATGTTATATATTCATTAAATTATACAACAAAAATATGCCAGCCATAGGCCCCATAGCATAAAATTTCTGACACATACTTTGTATACAATCAGTCAATCACAGTTACTAGTACCAGATCAAACCCACATAAAATTCAATATAAATATAAAGTAATACTAAATAGACAAACTAACCATGATAAGAAAAATAATCTTCTTCACAAAGTAGAGGATATGACTTGCTTTAAAATCTTTGCTTATTGGATCATGTGTAGCCATAACTTCTTTGAAGTCTATACTTTCAGTGATGTCTGAACTTGTCAAAGGCTGATATTCCATTTTTAAAAATTAGGGAAAAGAGAGGTAGCAAGATTAAGGGAAAGGGCAAAGAAAATATAATGGGGCTGCTGGGTTAATTTGTGAATCAAAATGTGTGGCTAACCTCATATATATATAGCATAAAAAATGGAATAGGATGAAGATTAGAGGGACAATTCCTTGCTTTAGTTGGGAGCAAATAAGTAGAATCAATTTATTTGCTTGAACTTACAACAATGCTTTATGCCTAGCTTTGTATATGAGTTAATTATCGAAATGGTCCCTTGACTATAGCGAAATTACCAATTTAGTTCTTGACTATTTTTTTGACCAATTAAGTCCCTTAACTTTAAAAATCTTAACCAATTTGGTCCTCCGTTAACTTGGGACCAAATTGGTAATTTGCTATACTCAAGGGACCATTTTGGTAATTAACTTTAAGGGTGGGCAATTCGATTCAATTTTCTCGAATCGAACCCTACCAAACTAGTTAGATTCTGTAATATACCGAACAGCCGAACAGTAATAGATTCTTGTATACCGAACGATTCGGTAAAAACTCGAACCGAACTGAATTTGTTCGGTAAAAATCGAACCGAACCAAATATCGTTTGAACTTTGGATTGCTATTTTGTTATATATTAGACTTTGGATATGGATTATGTAAACATCATAACACATAATATAGAACTTTTGATAACAAACCATAAAGAAATCAAATAAAACATTTACGAGAGATACCCGTGAGAATATGAGCTGAACGGCAGAGCAAGCAGTAAGGGACTTTGATTTACTTTTTATTTATTTATTTATTTATTTATTTATTATTATTATTATTATATTTAAAAAAAAATCAAACGGTATTCAGTTCATTTCAATTTTTACCGAACAATTCGGATCGGTTTTTTATCGAACCGTTCGGTATACAAGAATCCAATACCGTTCGGTTGTTCGGTATACTATCGAACCAAATTAGTTCGGTTCGGTTTGGTACAGTTCAGTTCGAGAAAACTAAACCGAATTGCCCACCCCTAAAGTTAATTACCAAAATGATCCCTTGACTATAGCAAAATTACCAATTTGGTCCCAAGTTAACGGTTGACTAACTGTCAAACAAACGGAAGACCAAATTGGTAAAGATTTTTAAAGTTGAGGGACTTAATTGGTTAAAAAAATAGTCAAGGACCAAATTTGTATTTTTGCTATAGTCAAGGGACCATTTCAGTAATTAACTCTTTATATATAGTATGTTGAGTATTGATACTAAAGATTTCTAATAATGTGAGAACCAATTAACCATAATTTGCGAATTGCAAATGATTGCACCACAACTACTACATAATTGCATTGCTACGGCTCCCAAACATGCTTGGAGAACCTTGCGGTGCAATCGTATCCGGGTGTGGTGCAATCATGCATGCAGTAAATACAGTGCAATCCTTCACATATTCGCAGTTCGCAGGTTAAGATTGGTTCTCACCCGATTATGGACCGAATACTAAATATATATAATTAAGAAGTATATACTATTTTAACATTAATATATGATAATAAGAATAACAATATTTACATCCTCCCACATGCTCTGTCGGGTCGGAATGTGGGGGGCCCTTAGGGTTGGGGATTCAGTATTTTGGGGTAAGAATAACAATATTTTACCTAGACATCCAAAAAGTAAAATATTGTTTAAGCATTGTCCACGCCATGGAGTATTTTACTCCCAACATAAGAAAATAACAATGCACATAAAATATAAATTAAAGGAAATCAAAATAGTTCACAAAAAAATTAGGAAACAATAGTTCTTTTGATTGTACTTGTGACACATTTCAAATGTAACAGAAGAGTGAAATTAAAGAGAATGTGGTACTACAAAGTACATTTCATAATTTTTGACCATTTTTCTCTCCCTGTGACCTAGGGTTTCCTCCGTCTCCCCCTGCGTTCTAGGGTTTCCCCTTACGTGCATGCGACGAATCTGCCATTGAAGTTGCTTGGCCTAGCTTCGATGGATGTCCAGGAGATAATAACGCACACTGCTGACATCACGCTGGACGACGAAGAGCAAGGTGTCCGGTTCGAGGATGAAGAGCTCGACGTCCAAACCCTGCCGGCGTCAAAGCAGACGTGGATCATTGTTGGCCGATTTTTAACGGATCGAATTCTCAAGACCGAGGTGATGAAGCGTGTTATGGCTTCGGCTTGGAAGCCTCTCATGGGTATTGAGATAACGGATGTGCAGCCTAATTTGTTTTTGTTCACCTTCTTTGATGAGCCGGACATGAGGCGTGTTATGGATGAGGGACCTTGGGCGTTTGAGAATGTGACGCTACTATGCCATGTCCTGAATGATGGTGATGATCCGCTACAGGTTAGTCTGAATTCTGTGGACTTATGGGTACAAGTTTTGGACATCCCCCAGGGATACCGCACGGTGAAGGTTTTGGAAAGAATTGGGGACTATGTTGGGGTTTTCTTGCGTTATGATGAAAGAAATTTTGAGAGGCAATGGACTTCCTTCTATAGAGTTAGAATCACCCATGATGTCTCAAAACCCTTGAAGCGGCGGATGAAGATGATTCTGAGGGATGGAACGTCGACATGGATTAATTTTAAATATGAACGCCTCCACATGTTTTGCTTTTTCTGTAGAAGGATGGGTCACACGGATAAATTTTGCTTGCAAGCTCGCCATTCGTTGTTGAGGCCGGATCAGTACCCGTTTGGTGTGTCGATGAGGGCGGGGGGTTCGAGTCCGGCGAAGGTGTTGGGGGAAAAATGGTTTCAGCTGGGCCAAGAGAGGAGACGTGAGATTGGCTATGGGGGTGAGGGCAGGAGATTGGCAGTGGGAGTAGGGGTTGGAGGGGTTGGGCAGTCTCGGGTGGAGGTTGACAAGGCTACGGATGGGGTGGATTCGGGAATTAGGGGTGTGGATGGAATGGGCGGTGAGGGTGTTGGTGGTGAGGGGGAGGGAGTTCGGGTGGATCCGAAAAGATGGAGGACGGATGGCGGGGAGGTGAGTGCTTTGAATGGGAATATGGTGGTTGATTCTGATTCTTTGTTTATGGCGGGACCTGTGGATCAGGTCCGCCGGTCCCAATGAGTACCTTAAGTTGGAACTGTCGTGGCTTGGGTAATCCACAGACAGTTCGCGAGATTGAGGACATGGTGTCCTCTAAGAAACCCGATTTTGTATTTCTCATAGAAACCAAGGTTGACCGGGATCATGCGGAGCGGCTTCGGGTTAAGCTTGGTTTTGATGGACTTTTTTGTATTGACAGTTCTGGTTTGAGTGGTGGATTGGCTCTGTTGTGGAGAGCGAATAATACAGCAAGATTGATAAGTTATTCCACAAACTATGCGGATGTTGAAGTGACTATACCGGGGTTTGAAAAGTGGAGAATGACTGGCTTTTATGGCTTTTCACAAAGGGGTCAAAGGAGAGACTCTTGGGACCTTATTCGTACTTTAGCCGGCAGGTCAGATCTACCGTGGGTGATGATTGGAGACTTTAATGACTTACTATTTCAATCTGAGAAACGAGGTGGAAACCCTCATCCTGAGAGATTATTGCATGGGTTTGGTGAGACTATAGAGGAGTGTGGCTTAGCGCAGATGCCCATGATGGGATATCCGTTTACTTGGGAAAAAGGAAAAGGCACACCAAATTGGATAGAGGAAAGGTTAGACAAAGTCTTGGCTAGCCAGAGTTGGCGTGAGAACGTGCCGGATGCTAGTGTGCAGAATATACTAACCCGAAAGTCCGATCATTCTGCTCTTTTCCTTGGGATTCTGAATCTTCGGGAAAGGACGGGTGGTTTGAGGAGAGGGTTCCGTTTTGAGATGGCATGGCTGCACGATGAAGGATGTAGAGGTGTGGTGGAGAAGGCATGGAATGAAGGTGCAGGAAGGGGGTTGCAGGAGTGTATCTCTCTCTGTGGAAATCGTTTGAAGCGTTGGGGAGGTGAACGGTTTCATAAGTTTGGTGAACGGATTAGGAACCTACGAAAGGAGCAACTTCGTCTGAGGGGGTGTAATGACCCGACCTCATTAGCTGAGTTCCAACGTTTGGAGGAGTGCCTGTGTTGTATTGAAGCCCAGGAGGATACATACTGGAGGCAGAGAGCCAAACAGCATTGGCTTGAGAACGCGGATGCTAACACGAAATATTACCACAGGTATACATCTCATCGCAAGAAAAAGAATACTATTTTGAAAATTATGAATGATAGTGGGGATTGGGTTGAGGGTGAAGCCATGAGGAGTGTTGTCTACAGCTATTATAAGACTATCTTTACCTCCGGCTCTCCAAGTGATAATGGGGAGTTCTTTGGAAATATAGCCTCTCGTGTAACGCAGGTGCAGAATGAGTCGCTTCTGCGGCCTTTTGATGCTAGTGAGGTTAGGAGTGCGCTGTTTTCCATGTTTCCTGACAAAGCACCAGGACCGGATGGAATGAATCCGGGGTTCTACCAGCATTTTTGGGATGTAATGGGTGGTGATGTATCGGCCCATATTGTGAATTGTCTTAATACCCGCTCGTTTCCTGCTCGTCTAAATGATACGAATATAATATTAATCCCCAAGAAGAAATCCCCTGAGATGGTCTCGGATTATAGACCGATAGCGCTGAGTAATGTGGAATACATGATTATGGCTAAGGTTATAGCTGCCAGGATGAAACCACTTATGGGGGAAATTATATCTGACACTTAGAGTGCTTTTATATCTGACAGGTTAATAACAGATAATATTTTGATTGCTGCTGAAGTTGGACATTTTTTGAACAGAAAACAATGTGGAATCACAGGATGGGGGGCTTTGAAACTGGATATGGCGAAAGCCTATGATCGGGTGGAGTGGCCCTTCTTGCATAGTATGATGCTAGCACTGGGCTTTGATGAAAGGTGGGTAGAATTGTTAATGCTATGTGTAACCTCAGTTTCGTATAGTATACAGGTTGGTGGAACACGAAGTGAGCAGATCACGCCGACTCGTGGTTTGAGGCAGGGTGATCCACTGTCACCTTATCTCTTTATTATTTGTGCTGAGGGACTTTCATTGCTGCTACAGCAGGCACAGTT